ATAGAGAGAGAGAGAGAGACTGAAGGAGAGAGGGGAAGTAAAAGCTTGTAGATGGAGTGCATCCACTCAGCATTACAGAGTAGATACACTCATAACCAACAGCAAATTACTCTGCTGCTGTGCTCTGCTGAGGCAAATGACAAACTTTCTCTCTCTCTATGTGTGTGTGTATTGTTGCTACAGAGGGAGCAAACACAGCGTGCACTTGGAAGGAAATACTGTGAAGAGCATCTGTCTGGGCTGCATGACAATATACCACATGTCTAATTATAGGACCACACATACACATGGTCGCTGAGATGCGTTTTACTGTCACCAGCGGAGACATTGTTCTTTCATTTCAAGAGGGAGACGTTTACATGAAAACAAACAGAAGCAATTAGATGACTAAGAGATTGACATAGAGAGAGAAACATGCTGGCATGTATGGAGGCTTCATTTAGTAAGTGAGTATCTGACTGAGTGCATTTTAAGAAGCTCAGTTGGTTAAAGTATTTAGAAAATGTGACATTTTTCTTCTGTTTATTAAATATACCGTAACAACTATGAGTTTTTACAGCATGTATATGTAGATAGAGGCAGAGTACAACCCAGTAATATTGCAAATGAGAACAAACGAAACAAAGTCACACTCTTGGCTTTGCTCTAATATCTAACAATCAAAGCTCACACTGCTTCAAATTTATCATTAAGAGTCTATTTAAACTTGAAATAGCACTGGATTAGAATTTAGTTGACAAAGGAAAAGAGCATTATACATCATTCCCTCCCTCTGCTGCATGATCATAGGACTTCAGGTAGGATTAAATGAAAATATACTCAATATCTGCTTTTAATTAAACCTAGAACTTGGTGTGGAAAACAGATACAATGAGGTTCATTCATGTTTCTCTTTTTTTTTCATTCCAAGGACATTACAGTGGTGTTAATGAGAGAAGGGAGACCTTTTTCACTCTTTCTTTACATATTTTATCCTTCTAATCAAGTGATTAAAGCAGGCTACATATAAAAGACAGACTTAGACTGACATCACTTACCCCGTCTTTAACTGATGACGTATGAACCCTGCTTCCAGGTCCAAACTGCTCTGTGTTTATTAAAGGTGTTGTGTTTTTAACGTTTTAATGTTTTGTATCTTGTTCTGTTACATCTGAACAAGCCCCTAAAAACAGTCAGTGATCACTGTCGGCCTCTTTCGGTTTTTATTACCACTGTTCATTTTGAAGCTCAGTTTTTAAAACCTTACGTGTAACTACAGCCCAGCCCATGCAGCAGTATATTAATGACTAACCTCATACTGTGGATGGATTATCTCAGTTGTTCTCCTGACTGAAGTTTTGTCCGTTTACAGCATCCTGCCATGAAATTGCATTTGTCCCTAACCGTTGGGAACCCTCACGTTAACTTTTATCAAGTGGAAAAAGGTTAACGTTCACCCTCCAGCTTCACTGTGTTTATGTTATTCTAACATAGCTGTGTCGCTAGTGATCAACCAGCTAGCCAAACTTCAGTAACCCTACAAAAGTCACTGCTGTTTAGTTTTCTGTCTTCGTTTATGTTGGAAGTGATAGCAGAGCTGTACATTTAAAAATTTCAGAAATCTCTCAGTCAGAACATGGTATATTATGATAAACTAGTGAGCTAACTCCCTGCTAACTTCAAACTCCATTAAATTTAATAAATTCTTTTTTCGTGGCTGCCTGGATGTTAAAGTTAATTGTTACACCTGGTAAAGCAGCAATGCTGATCGTTTTATTAAAGATGAAAGACTTTAGACAGTTTGAAACTCTCAGTGATGCCACAGAGTTTGTTTGACTTTGGGACCTGAAGCGGAGTTTGGACCCAACACAGGCAGCTGTAGCCGTCTGCTGAAAGGAGTCAGTGAACTGGAGCTGAGCAGACACTGTGTTTGTGCTGTTGGCACTTTTTGGAGCATTTTAATGGCATTGCCTGAAAAATGATATGAGTTGCTGTTTGCTACAGTCTGTTTAACAAGTTTGTGTTTCATTTTTTGTGTTTGAAAATGTAATATTTTGTCAGTCTGTTATTTAGTACTAATTAGCAGGTAGTTGTTTCTGTGTTTTCACCCATATGCCAATGTTGAGGCTTCAAAATGCAGATTCACAAACCAACATTACAATGTCACAGTGGCAATATTCATTTTTTACATGTTTTACAGGGCTATGAGGCTTTAAACAAGGGACTTGTAATTAATATGGACCCAATAAATGTGGCAGGATTTGATTTAACACTATGTCAACCCAGCCTAAAAACTACAATCTACAATTACATCATTTTGGGTTTGATATTTTTAGATTAAGAGTCCCAGTCTCTGATTACAGTTCAGAACAAAAAGCTTGAAAGCTTGAAAAGAAAGCGACTCGAGTTTTTCTAGGTTTTGAAGATCCATGAGACGTCTTCACATTCTTCAGCTCTTGGGTGGTCTGCTGGGGTTTATTATGTGTGAATATCCCTCAGTTGTTCCAGAACTGAAGAAGCACAAACAAAATAAAACAAACAAACAAAACAAACCCACTCTGAAAACATGTGGTGTGCTTTAAAACACAATGCAACCACATGCTTATTTATTTCCAATCAAAACTATAACCTTTTCTTAATTTTAAACAAGTGCTATGAGTGCCAAAGCAAAATTGATATAAACGAACAGTGTGTCTGAGGTTGTTTTTCTTCCAGAACAGGAAGAAATGCAATAATTTTATACCAAGCGATATATTTTATCGCTTTCCTGTTGTTCAACAAGGAAATGAGTGAGCTTTTAACACTACCAGATGTGAAGAAACCAGCAGGACATAATCAGGACCAAAGTGACATCCACACATTCCTGTAGAGTGTAAATCAGCAACAGTAACTGAAAACATCTGTGATGTAAATCAGGGTCTTTAAAACCCATCTGACTAAACCAATTCAAAAGTCTGTAATGCATTATTATTAGTAGTAGTATATGTAGTGTGAGAAAGACTGCTTGCTTTAGTGTTAGGAGCAGCAGTCTTATGGTCACTAATAATGGTGATATGTAGTCATTTCATACTCGCTGTAGGGTAGATGGTTGGTGTATTTCAGCTTCACTGAGCCATAATCCTGACCCACTCTTGTATTTATTTTGCTGTTAATATAATAACAATATATAAGACTGAGAACATCTGGCATCCCCAGAGGTATTTTGCTGCATTTACTGAATCATTAATCATGGACCGAGACTCTAAACAGAGCAAAATTCCTCGCTGCAAAACACTAAACACATATTAAAGACTCATTTTTAAAATCAGAGACTATTGTTGCAATGAGAGTGTATTTGGTCTACAGCAACGTTTAAGTAATGCTTCTAAAGTTCTCCAATGATTCCAGCAGAACATTCCATCGTTAACCATACAGGTGTAGAATTATCTTGTGATTTGTGGTGATCAAGTTTTTCATTCATTTAAAAGTGAATGATATCTTTTCCAAGAATCTTCATCATCTTAAAGATGTCGAAGAAGCTCCGTTAAGCAATTATTTTGGTGTTCCTCCACCTCCAAAGAAATGTCAGAAGGAGTCCAAACCGCAAAAGAAGCGCATATTATCAGAAAAGTGGTTGCAGGAGGTGAGCTGGCTTCAAACAAATGATGAACGCACAGAGATCTGGTGCAGAATATGCCGTGAAAATCCCACTCTAGCGGACAAAAGCAGTGCCTTTTATATGTCTGTGAAGGTTCTCAGTCATCCAGGTCATCGCAGTCAAAGGAGCTTGCAAAGAAAAGCGTCTGGACTTCTTTAACCCTTGTGTGGTGTTCGTATTTTTGTTACTCAGCCAGTGTTCATGGGTCTGGTGGACCCGCTAGAGTTTTGGCTTTCCAAACTAACACTATCAAACAATTTTATGTTAAATTACTCAACAGATGTTTACTTCATCCCAATTACAAGACATATGAACAGCAAACATGGTTAATTTTTTCCCTTT